TGCAGAGGGCACAGCTGCCTCAACAAAACTGAAACCCAACTCGAACAGTCTCCTGCCAACACAGCTTCCAGAGCAAGGAAAAACCTACCAAACTATCAGCATAGATGCCTGTGTGTTCAACTCCCACCTACTTGCAATTAGTTTTCAAGGCAGATAAATGAAAGTAAACGGTGTCCACAGGAACTAGGGTGAAGGAATTATTCACTGAGACTTCTAATTTTTAAGCTTTCACTGCACAAATAAAACTGACTATGTCACTGACTTCCTTGAGGAATTCCATTCTATCCCTGAACCTGTCCAAACCAATTCCAAACAGCAGCCCTCCCTCAATTTCAATGCAAATAGAGCAGGTGATACTATGAATTTATGTAACTATTTATTTTAAGGGACCAGGAAATGCTAAAGCCATTCAATTCATTGCAGAGATACCAGAAATGATGCTGGACTCCAGATGGGACCTGGTCTGACACTCACTGCCACACTGAAGCCACCAAAATAGATTGTTTGATCAGGAATTGTGAGGGTTTCAGACAGTCCTTGCTTGTCACATGCTGCTTCACTTCCCCAAACATCACAATTAGTCAAAGCTGATCTTGGTAAAGAGAACTTAGAACTTTATCTTCATACAACTCCAAGTCTCTCATCAGAGAAATCACGAACCTGTCACAAATACTGTATTCTCATCTTAAAACACAGCAAGAATAACTTCCATTGCAGTTTTAAGCAGGTTCTACAAAGTACTGAAGTACTGCTATGAAATAGCAGGGTCTAGTAGAAGAAGGAAAAATAGCACTAGACAAACTAGCAGGTCAACTCAAACCATCTTTTGGGTGTGCTTCTCATATTATAGAAGTAGTTTTGGTGTTTTTCTTTAAACCTCCAGAATAAATCTGGGAAATTTCAACCCACAGCAAGACTGCATGAGGGCAAACCCCACAAAGAATGGTTGCAACATTAAGCAGAAGGAAGCTAGGGATGCATCAGGAGCTTTTCCCTTCTTGTTTTTCAAAGTCCAAAATGCTTCTTCTCTAAATTCCTGAATTATGGAGACAGCTCACTGACCAAACTAACTGGTCACTGGTCTCCCAGCTCTCTGCTGCTTGTCAAATTTGAATACTAAAGACCTAAAGGTCTCACCTCTACAGAGAGTGGTTTTCCCAAAGCAAAAAACAAGGGGTGCATGTTAACGTCTGGGTCCTTCCGGAAGCAGTTGGGTTTGGCGTGGTGTTGGAAGTGGAGGTGATTCCACCAGCTGGCTGGTGCTCCCTGCAGGAGGGGATGAGAAGAGAGTGCCATAAAGAAGTTGAACCTTCTGCCCTGAAGTCCTCCCTCCCCAGTAGTTCCTTGAATTTGCTTTCTCACAGAGGGATGGGTTTTGACTGCAGAGCACCCTACGGGAGGCTCTGCAGTCCCTCCCAGTGCTCGGTGCCCACCTTCAGATGGCCGATCACAAACTTGTGCACCCAGTGGTTCCACCTGGACTTGCTAAAGACTGAAAGGTGTCCAAAATCATGCTGAAGCCAGCCAGCCTGGGCCTGGAATTAAAAACAAACATATAAAACCAGTGCTGGGGAAGAAAGGGAGTCGGGAGTCTGGACTGGAAAGGGCTTTCTCCTCTTGGGGGCTACAGGAAAGCTGGACAGGGACTTTGTACAAGGGCATGCAGTGACAGGACAAGGGGGAATGGCTTTAAAGTGGAAGAGGGAAGGTTTAGGTGAGACATTAGGAAGAAATTCTTCCCTGTGAGGGTGGTGAGAACCTGGCCCAGGTTGCCCAGGGAAGCTGTGGCTGCCCCATCCCTGGAAGTGCTGAAGGGCAGGTTGGATGGGGCTTGGAGCAACCTGGTCTGGTGTGAGGTGTCCCTGCCCATGCAGGGGGGTTGGATCTAGAGAATCTTAAAGGTCCTTTCCAACCCAAACCATTCCATGATTCTGTGATTCTCCCACTCCCACGCTCCTCACAACACACTCCTGGATAGTGAGAGCATTTCCATAACTAGGACCCAGTCCAAAGCACTTATTTCTTTACCACTGCAGCCCAGACTTTGCCTAATGACATTCAGTCCCAGAGAGCTGTTTTCATGAGGAAGGAAAAAATGGTGGAGAGAAAAAAAGAAAACTAAAAAAGAAGTCATGGAGCTCAGAAACAGCATTTATTCTCTTACAAAACTGCACTGAAATCAGCAACAAAGTCTCCTTTAAGGAGCAGCTTGCTGCTGCCTCCTCTGAGTACTTGTAATTCCAAGGGGATCAGCTGGCCACAGGAGGAATAGCTGGGGCTTTGAGAGCTGCTCTGCCCTCTCCTCTAACTTGCTGCAAGTTCCCATGGGAACCTGGTGGCTTGGCCCCTGCACAGTGCCTTGGAGTTCTGGCAGCAGGGACCTCGGCAGCAGAGCACGGCTTTCATTGTGTGAAGAAGGCTGGGAATAAGGAGGGCTTTGATGAACTAAAGGAAGGAGAAGGGAGGGCAAAGCCTGCTCTACCAAAGCAGCACGTGGTGGCACTGCAATTTCACCCCTTTAGTGGAACCCAGGGAGAAGAAGAATTTTGGGGAGTCCACAAAGATTCCTCCTGTGGCAATGAGCACCTGAGATTCAAAGGGTTGTTTTTTGGTGCTTCTGGGACACCTAACTGCTTACCTGGACAGTGCCTAGAAGCACTGCAGAGAAGAGGAAAGGCACTGTGGATGCTCCAAAATACCAGATGGTGAGCCAAGCTGCAACATCCAACACCAAGATGTGACAGAGATAGAGCATGAAAAAGGTGCAGCTGGGGTTGAACAGCCCCATCTTCTCCACGGTTGCACGGAGCTCACGGAAATCTTCCACCAGCTTTTTCTGTGGGGAGACCCAAGAGCATCTGCTGGTCAGAAAATGCCTCAGGATGCTCAGTTTCCCCTCTCAAGGAGCTACTGTGGCAATGGGGAAAAGCTGAGGGTCACCCAGAGAAATACCTTCAGCAAGACTAATAATGACCTGAAGTGAAGAAGCTTCAGACCAACACAGTGATCCCAGGAAACACTCATTTTTATGTACAGGGATTTCTGGCTGTCAGTAAGTGAAGCTAAACAGCACAATTTCAACCCAAATAGCAAGTTTTTAAGGTACTTACATTCTTGCTGGGCTCAAAGCTGGGCTGATCTGGTGCCAACTCCCCAATCAACAGTGGGTTCATGTACTTTCTTACGAGTGTCTTGTCAAGATGAAATGCTATGAAAGGATCCTGAAACACAGGTGGAAGAACAGGATGAAGAAAAACAACCACTCAACCAAAATAAGTATGTTTCATGATATATTTAAAAGAAACATATCTCCTGGACTCAGCAGAAAGCAACCTAACTAATGGAGCTGGCTGAGCCAGATTTTACTGCCATAAATCTTACTGCTTTCTTCACACCATAAATGATCATTTGAAGTTCAAGTCTCTCTAACATTTTCTATCCAGATGCTGTTAAGTGCAGGTGACCAAGAAATATATCACTCCATTCTCTTCTTACTTCTGAATCTGAAAAATCAACATCCTCAAAATTTATCACCTCAACTACATGCTCCTCTGTCTACATTTTGCCTCTGTCTTCCATTTTATTTCTTCTCAGACCCTATATCCTGCAGTGAAAGTCTTGACTAGGGAGAAGGGCAAGGTGTTAGCACAAAAAATGGATCAGCTGGCTGAACTGGGAAAAATAATGGGACAAGCAGGACACAGACAGGTGATGGCAGCTTCTGGTGACCCACAACCAACCTCTCAAAAGCTCCACATTGGTCCAAACATGCTTCCTTGGCAATCCCCAATGCCCACCCTGCCGTATTTTCCTAGAATTGTCTTACTTTCTTGCTACCTGCCTCCTCCCCAAGTGGCTCCCCCCTCCTGTTTCTGAAGAGCCCCATGAAAAGGCCTTTTTCCCTCCTCACCATCTCCTACTGGGGAAATCAGTTGCTTTTCTCATGTAATGTAATGTCAATCTCCATGGCAACAAAGTGGGGAAAAAAGATCATTAGTGATTGGTATCACTATAAACTCTATCACTCTATTTGGATGACAAAGTCCCTGAGCACACACAGCAGTTTTGACATCTACTTCCTACTGAAAATCTCCCAATTACAGTGTCCAAATTAGCATATACTTTACAATCCCCCTCAGCCTTAGGATGCTTTTGCTCTTCTGGGACAGTATTTGTGCACTGCACATCAGCTTGGAAGCCTCTTGCACCATGCACTGTTCAGCACCTTTAATTTCTAGCTCACCATTGCATGCTTTTAAAATAAGTTATCCTTTTAAAAGGTCTCTAGCCAAGAAAGGGGTTAAAAAAAAGCAGCAGCTGAAGTTGCCAGCTTGAGGTAAGCCCTGTTGTGGTTCAGATGTAGCTTCCTCTCTGCTCAGAATGATGTGAATAAAGGAGGGAAGGAGGGGAGGGGGGGAAGTACATTTGCATTTTTTTTATTGGAAGAGGGGAGAAAAAAAAATGGGGAGGAGTAAGTGGGCAGATCAGAGGAGGATGGTACCACACTTTTCAGACCAATCCTCTCCACGGACGCTGTAAAACCTGGCAGTGCAATCCTAATTGGAGGGTGAAGGAACCACTGGTTGCACCTTCTAGAAACCAGAGCACTCCAGTAGCATTCAGCAAACTCAAATCACCCTTAATTTCTGGTATTGAGGGGCCTGATTCTTTAAAATTTCCAGGGCAGAAAGGTTAGGGGGGGGGGGGGGGGGAAGGAATTTATATTTGGCTCAGGTTCCTGAGTGATCAGCAATTCAATTGCACCCAGCAGTGACACAGATGATAACACCTAAAAGAATGCAGCTGGCTGCAGTGTGACCGTGGAACTGTGCTGTGCTGGCCACTGCCACCCACTCATTTCTGACCAGACACCACCAAGGGGGGTTCAAAAAGCACCCCCTGACCTCCTGCAGTCTGTGTAAATTCAGGTTTGTTGTCTTTGGCTTTAATTTACAGGCCAGCAACTAAGGGAAGTACAAGATCTCAAGTTTCACCCTTTCTGCTCTGGGACAAAACTGGGCTGAAACAGAGCTCACCAAACACACCCTTGAGGTAGCTTCAGCATCCCTCGAGTCTTAAATACTTCAATTTAGAGAAACACACTTTCTTTTGTGAAAGATACAAACAAACAAAAGGAGGAAATCCACTGCCAAAATCACCCCATACCCCAGCTTGAACAACATTTACTCTGCTTTGCAATAATCACCAGACAAAACAGACTTTATATATATATATATGTTTTTTTAAAGACTGGAATATGACTTCCAGTGATATTTTGCACCAGTACCACCTCTTAGAAACGCCCTGCTGGGTTTTTAAAGTCAGAGGAGGCTGAAAAGCCTTCACAGACTTGCCAAAACAGGATCATTTAGCCGTGCACACACCAGCCACCAACCCCTCGGTGCAGCAGAAAGCAAAAGTATTCGTACTGACTGTGGGTGTGCAGAAACGAACGGGTTTCTCCCCGGATTTCATGCCGGGTTGCAGACACCTTATTCACGCACGTGTCGGTTAACCCTTCAGAAATGTCACTTTGTAAGAACAGCCCCTCCAGGAGCCCGGGATTAACTGCAGTTGGAATCTTTGTATGTACGAGCTCAGCGGGTATGGGTGTGTGTGTGTCTCCATGTCCCCCTGACCCTCACCTGCCGTCCTTGGGGCCCGAGTGACCCCTTTGCCACGTGGGACATCCCTCAGGACCCCCTGCACCATGTGGGGTGACCCTTCAGCCCCTGCCCCCCACACCCCTCAGCATGTAGGGGGACCCCTCAGTCCTTGCCCCCCGCACCCCTCAGAATATGGGGGGTACCCCTCAGCCCCTGCCTCTCACACC